CTGGCTTTTATGTTGTTGTTGTCATCGATATCTTTTATTGCTTTTTTGGTCAAAATATTTTATTGCTTTAAAGTCTGATTTTTAAGTTGAGACTGTTAAGAAACGACCACTAACCAGTGGTTTCGCCCGTAGTACGTGCACTGTGTTTTATTTCGTACTATATTGATTGAAATATTAAGCACTATATATTCTAAAGATTAATTATACTATTAAACAACAGATTAAACAATAATAATTGATGTCAAGGGTTTCAGTTTTGATGGGGAAGTTGTTGTTTTAATAGAAACTCCATTTGAATTTTGAACTTACTTTGCTTCAGCCCACTTCTTGATTCTGTTTAAAATTGAATTTTGTGGCTGAATTAAATCGATTTAACTACTTGATAGAAGAACATGTGATTGCAAATTGCTCTTATATTATAAAATCTAAATTAGAATACAACGACCAATCGTTGTGCAGATTGTACCCCACGCGCTAGAAAAAGATTAGAGATTAGAGAATGGTCACTATTTGTAGTTTGATCTTTCATGCACGTAGTGTTAGCTTTAAATTATTACTCTACTTCTTACAACTTTTTTTGCCTCCTTTTCTAACAAAAACAAAAAGATGATATTGCTTGCCAGCTTCTGAAGATTTTGATCGGACACAGCACTACGAATGAAATCATATAATTTGATATGAGATTCGATTATTGGGTTTACCTAATTGATATATCTTGAAATATAGCCTAGTCCATGGACCAACAAAATAGGGGGTAAAAAGTAGAGGTTAGTCCAAAACATTTGAAGTACAAGACAAAGAACAAAGATAGTTTCATCACTAATAGAAAACACATTTAACGAGTGGATTGGCGAATAAATTGGACAAGCGAACATTTTCCATTTTCATCACAAATTCGATAAAGCCAATTTTACTTGGCTTATATCATCTTTGGTGTGTCGAATCTTATCACATTTACATCTGTGAAACCAAAAACCTTTTATTATATACTCTCTCATTATA